GTTGCTAATTTTTGATAATATTCGAATGACTTGTTTTCATCCTTTTCAACACCAATTCCTTTCTCATAACAATATCCAACACTATATATGCCATCAGCGTACACTTTCTCTGCTGATTTTTGATAATATTCGAATGCCTTTCGTTCATCCTTTTCAACCCCAATTCCTTTCTCATAACAATACTCAACTTTATATATTTCATCAACGTACCCCGTCACTGCTGATTCTTGATAATATTCGAATGTCTTAGTTAACATTATTGAATCCATATAGATAATTGACTCCGAGGCTGTAAAGCTCCGCACCTGTTTGTTTCATGGTTATAAGTTAAAAGAAAAATAAAAGATTTAAGTGCCTCAATTTTACGCCAGAAATTAATATAGCTTTATTTATAACATGTTAATAATATGCATGTTGAATAATGCCTTTCCATAAAAGCAATTTTAATTCCTTTATTAGAATTCCGAAGTAACCTTTGTGTTCATCTTACATATTTAATTCATGAAATAATTGAAAATCTGGAAAATTATTGTTTATGAATTAGACGAAAATGCTTAATTTGAATGATACGATAAACAAGAAGAATCATCGATGTTACACAACTGATTCTTCACCCGGTGTGCAACATATAAAAAAATTATTAGATCATTCCGCTAGTACCATTTTTATTACAATAAATGATTGGGATTATAATCATAACATGAATGATCTAGTATTGTGAAATAATTTTTTTATATGTTGCGCACCGGGTGAAGAATCAGTCGTGTAACGTCGACGGTTCCTCCGGTTGACATGATATGAATAAAATAGTCATTATTTTCGATCAAAAACTGACACTTTAATATTGAAACGCAAATTTATATTGTGCAGTTAGTGATGGGGAAAATGTACATTTTATAATAACATGCGCACGAAATGTTTCATGCGCATGATAGCGCATGATAAAAAAAAGGCAAAACGGTCGAGAGGAGAGAAATCTTGATGGGATAAAATGCGCATGAAACCCATCTCTATGTGCAGTCGATTGATAAAGTTCAAAATTTATTTAAATGTATTTTATTTTTGATTAATAATGTTTAATGGTATTTAAAAAAATATTAAATAATATAAATTTTGACAGCTTTAATACCATTTTTTAAGCATATCATATTTTTAAAATAATTTATCAATTATATTTTTTTACATTTCTAATTTATGTATCAAATAAAAATCTTGCATTTATATTCTTGATGTCTTTTTAACATCTTTATTATCGTAATTGATTTGATAATAAAACGATAATATAAGAAATAAATTCTATTTGTAAAAACATTACACGTATTATTTATATAAAGTATAATATGTTATAAAAAAATTTACATTAAATAAAAAAAATTACAGAATAAAAAAGTAAGTAAAGAAAGAAAAAGCCAAGTTTGTACATATTCCTTAATACAATTTAAGATAAACATGACTAAAATTTTAACCATAGGAACAGAAAGAATATAACTATAAAATAACAAAGCCGAAAATTCTTCTTGATAAGTATTATTAAGTTGAGCCAAATTAATACAACTTACAGCAGTTGGACCAGTAGTAATCATAATTAGAACAAACCATAACATAGGATCATATAAATACCAAGATCTAGTAAATAAGAAAAAAAAATACCAATAGCAGGCATTATTAAAAAACGACAAGTTAAAACATAAGCAATAATAGAGACCATATGTTCATTATGGGAACGGGGAAGACTATATAATTGAGCACCAAGAGTTAATAGAGTCAAAGGAATGGTGACGGAACCAAGATAATCAATAGCTTGAGAAATAACCATAAGAGGAGCATTTTTAGCGATAAATAAAGGTTTTGAATAAGGAATAGCTACAAAAATTAAAGCTAATAAAGTGGCATATAAAGGAGGATCCATGCATCTTTACACGTGACATTTGATTTGATCTTAATAGAAGAGTTCTTTCAGTTATTTGATCATGATCAATGTTAGGATGAAATTGATTAGAATAACTTGGGCTAGGTTGTTGGATGATCGGATCATCTTTTTCAGGAACTTATTTCAGCAAGTATGCACCAAAAGACCATCTATAGAAAGAAATAAATTACAAAACAATTGTAATAAATTATATTATTTAGATTATAATTAAAGAAAAAATGTATATTATACCAGGGGTTATTGATAACCTTCCTCTATTTTATAATTGTTTTTAGTTTTTTTTTTATCAAAAATTAGGGTTTGGGTGCAGTTTAATACTGAAATAGGGGTTAGATATTATGGTCCAATTTTAGGTTACACGAGTTTTTTTGGGGTTCTGAACATTTTTACTTAACCTACCTGACCCCAATTTCTTAATCAATTTATTGAGATATAGCACCCTGGAAATCAATAACCCCTGGTATAAATTATAATGTTCATAATTAAATTATAAAATAATTTAAATTATAATTATATAACTATAATCATTATTAAATCATAAACCTTAGCAAATTAGTCCAAAGAGATGCAAGCAGCAAATAAGAAGTACCTCGTTTGACAGTATCCTGCAGACTTTCATTTTCATTTAATCTTAAAAGCGAGTTAGCAATTGTATTTTCAATACCTTTTAACAATCCCAGAGAAAGACTTGTAATATTATTAAAAGTAGTTCCAGTTATAACAAATTTTATATCCGAAGCCTTTAATATTAACAAATTTCCACCAATTAAACCAAGAATTGCACTAATTAGTGAAAAGAAAAAGAAAAAAGTAGGTATAGGCCAAAGTCTAATTAATTTTTTAATAGTAATAGTGTAAAAAATGTTTGAAAATAAGAAACATGACATAAATATTTGTATTATTAGGGAAGAGAGATTTTATAAAATATAAATTTTTTTGAATGATTAACGAAACTAGGTAATCATAAAAAAGATCGTTGAAAATATAATAAATTTTTTACAAAACTTTTGATATTTGTCGTGACTATTTCAAATTTTGCAACCAAATAGCCGGCGAGACACACTAAAAAACTTGCGAACTTGAATATAGTAGTAAATAATCAAAAAATATTAATGAAAAACCAAAACTTATAGTATTAAAGCACACAAATTTACATTGTGCAGTCGATTGATAAAAAGTTTGAATGTGAACTCATACAGGGGGATCCCCAAAATTCCGGGTCGAAACCATCGGATTTAGCCCGGCATTTAGGTAGCATTTAGTAATACACGTTAACCATTTCTGAGCCAAAATTATCAGCTGGGCAGCTTTACTTCTATGGTTTCATTAGTAAAACTTTTA